GATATGTATAGATTACCGGGAGCTGAATAAGGTGACGGTGAAGAACTGTTACCCACTCCCGAGGATTGATGACCTTTTTGATCAGTTACATGGAGCATCTTGGTTCTCCAAGATCGATTTGCGTTCAGGCTATCATCAGATGAGGGTTAGAGAGGAGGATATACAGAAGACCGTGTTTCGGACGCGTTATGGCCATTATGAGTTTGTGGTGATGCCGTTTGGGCTCACCAATGCTCGTGCCGCGTTCATGGACCTCATGAACCGTGTGTGTAGACCGATGTTGGATCGATCTGTGATAGTTTTCATTGATGATATCTTGGTTTATTCCAAGACTCAGGAGGAGCATGATGAGCATCTAAGGGAGGTTTTGGAGACCCTGAGGAGGGAGAGCTTGTATGCCAAGTTCTCCAAATGTGAGTTTTGGTTGCATGAGGTGCAGTTTCTTGGGCACCTCGTCAACCATAACAGGATTTCAGTAGACCCGGCTAAGATGGAGGCCGTGATGAGATGGGAGGTTCCGAAGTCTCCATCCGAGATTCAGAGTTTCCAAGGATTAGCAGGCTACTATCGGAGGTTCATTCAGGATTTCTCCAAGATAGTCGTACCCCTGACATGGTTGACTAGGAAAGCCATGGTCTTTCGATGGGGGCCTGAGCAGCAGGTAGCGTTCGAGACTCTGAGGCAGAGATTGTGCGAGGCGCCGATCTTAGCCCTATCCGAGGACGTGGAGGATTTTGTGGTCTATTACGATGCGTCGATCTCAGGCTTAGGCGCAGTGTTGATGCAAAGGGGGCATTTCATTGCTTATACCTCGAGGCAGCTGAAGCCTCACCAGGCGAACTACCCGACACACAATTTGGAGTTGGGGGTGGTGGTCTTCGCCCTCAAGATATGATGGCATTACCTTTATGGGGTTCGTTGTACCATTTACACGGACCACAAGAGTTTGAGGTACCTCATGGATCAGCCGAATCTGAACATGAGGCAGCATCGATGGTTGGACGTGGTAAAGGATTATGATTGTAAGATCCTTTACCACCAAGGGAAGGCCAATGTGGTGGCCGATGCGCTTAGCCGCAAGGCGGCGCCGATCAGGGATGTTTGCATAAGGATGACCGTGGTGACTCCTCTGTTGGAGCAGATTCGAGAGGCCCAACAGGAGGCTATGAAGGAGGAGCATCGGAAGAGTGAGCGAACAGTAGGTCAAGTCACCTCTTTCAATTATGATAGCCGGGGGTTATTGACACTACACCGTAGGGTGTGGGTGCCGTATCATGGAGGCGTGCGCCAGATCTTGATGGAGGAGGCGTACAAATCCTGATTCTCTATTCACCAAGGGGCGACGAAGATGTATCAAGATCTTCGCCTAGACTATTAGTGGCCCTGCATGAAGCGGGATGTGGCATGGTACGTCGAGCGGTGCTTGACGTGCAGGAAGGTTAAGGCCGAACATCAGAGACCGCATGGAAAGATGCAGCCGTTGAACATCCCGTTGTGGAAACGGGAAGATATCACGATGGATTTTATCACGAAGCTTCCCAGGACCGTGCGTAGAGTAGATTCGATTTGGGTCATCGTAGATCGATTGACCAAGAGTGCTCATTTTATTCCGATTCAAGAGAGCATTTCGGCCGAGAAATTGGCTGACATCTATATTAGGGAGATTGTGGCGCGGCACGGGGTGCCAGTATCTATTATCTCGGACAGGGATGTGCGTTTTACTTCCAGGTTTTGGAAGAGGTTTCATGACGAGTTGGGTACTCGTTTGCATTTTAGCACCGCCTTTCACCCGCAGACAGATGGTTAGAGCGAGTGGACCATCCAGAATCTGGAGGATATGTTGCGGGCGTGCGTGCTAGACTTCGGAGGTAGCTGGGATACTTATCTTCCCTTGGCTAAGTTCTCGTACAACAACAGCTACCACGCGAGTATCGACCGCCCTCCATTCGAGATGTTGTACGGACGGAGGTGCAGGACCCCAATATGCTGGGGAAAGGCTGGTCAAAGAGTTATGGGGAGCACCGAATTGGTGCTCAAGACTACCGAGAGGATTCAGCAGGTTCAGAGCAGGCTGCAGACTGCACAGAGTCGGCAGAAAAGTTACGCCGACAAGCGTTGATCAGACCTGGAGTTCCAGGTCAGGGATATGGTTCTCCTGAAGGTGTCTCCTTGGAAAGGCGTCATTCGATTCAGGAAGCGGGGAAAGTTAGGCCCGAGATTCATTGGTCCGTTCAGGGTTGTAACCCGGGTGGGCAAGGTGGCATATAGGCTGGATCTGCCAGCCGAGCTCAGCCAGATCGACAGCACCTTCCATGTCTCCCAGCTGCGGAAGTGTCTCGTGGATGATTCAGTGGTGGTACCATTAGAGGATATACAGGTTGATGACAGCCTGAAGTACATTGAGCGCCCAGACGCAATCCTCGATCGGAAGTCAAAGGATCTGAGGAACAAGAGGGTGGAGTTAGTGAAGGTGCAGTGGCAGCACCGAAACAGGTCCGAGTGGACTTGGGAGTCGGTGGAAGAAATGATTGAGCATTACCCCGAGCTGTTTCAGGATCGAGCAGCAGACTTCGAGGATGAAGTCTAAAATGAGTGGGGGAGATTTGTAGCACCTAGTTCCTGGTACGTAAAAATTTATCTAAGTAATTTTCATTTTAGCCTTGGACTCGGCGAGTTGTAGATCCGACTCGCCGAGTAGGGACACGGTCCGGGGGCACGCTTAAGTTGACGACTCGGTGAGTCCATATCCTGGACTCGACGAGTCATCGCTGTTTGATGAAACCCTAATTCCAAGGGTTTGCCCCTATTTAAGCTAGCTTGTGCGACCCAAGCTCGCCCCCTTTCACCCTCAGAGCGCCCTACATCAAACCCTAACTCGTTTCTTGTGAGATTGAAGGGATTAGAGTGATTCCTTGAAGTTTTTGGGAGAAGAAGGAGAGTGGAGCAAGAAGAGGAGAAGGAGACCAGATATCTTGGTGCTATTTCAGAGTTCTCTAAGGTATATCTCTACTTTATTCTGTTTGCATGCTTAAAACCCCATTAGAGCACCTTTTGAGCTCTTCTTGAACCTTTTCCAAGCTTGTGCATGAAATAGAATTCGTAATAGGTTGAGTATCCACTAGAACTAGTCTTGTTTGAGCTCCAGAAGCTCAGATCTATAACCTTTACGGCAGTAAATTGCTGGAATGTCCTAGATCTACCTTCTTAGCCATTATTTCGCCCCTAATCCCCATTATATGCATTTCTACACGTAAAGTTGGAAACTTTACGTGTAAACCAGGCCCTAGGAACCCAGATATATGAAATGGAATGAGCTGGATCCAAGCAAAATCGCGTGTTTGGTTTTTGCATGTGGCCGACTCGGCGAGTCGTTCATCTGACTCGGCGAGTCGGGTCGCGAGTCCCAGGGTTGTTCCCTTTTGTGTTTGCAAGTTGGAGGAGTGAGTCATAGGGGTATGACTCAGTGAGTTGGAAGCCAAACTCCCTCATGAAGTAACTCGGCGAGTCAATGCCATGACTCGGCGAGTTCATGGCAATCTTCTTGTCTCAAGAACAACTTGACGAGTTGTTCATACAACTCGGCGAGTCACGGATTAGAGTGTTCTTAGGATGAAGGCGAACTCAGCGAGTTGTTCATACAACTCGACGAGTAGGATGCAGGACTATTAAGACTTGGGTATAGAGAAAGGGACTCGTCGAGTCGGAAAGCCAACTCGACGAGTCTGGTCAACAGGCAGTTGACTATGACTTAACTCATGACTTGTTAAGGGTAAATGGGCAATTTACCCTGAGGGCGGTTAGCAGTATTTGACTAAGTGTTTGGTGGGAATTACAGCCGGAGGATTTCCGGAGCAGCAGCAACAGACAGACAAACTATTCCCACACAGATCAGCAGCTACTACGAGGTGAGTTACCTTCCAGTAGCGGTGGGTCTAAGGCCACAATGTCGGCCCACTAGTAGGAGATGTATGATAGATAATTGTCTTTGTGATATCATCTAGGTTTGCTACTACCTGATATGTTATATGCTAGCATGATATGTTATATGTGATAGTAGTAGAGTTCGGTTGTTAGGACCGAAGGGTAGTCAGACACCCCAGATACGTCTGACAGTATGTGATTATATGTTTGCATGCTGGTTTGTTATGTTATATGCGATAGAGGTAGTAGGAGGGGACCAATCCCCGAGTTTGGTTGTTAGGACCGAAGGGTAGTTCAGGCACCCCAGATATGTCTGATAATATGTTATGTTATGATATATGTGATAGTAGCAGTAGGGGGTGAAATAGTCCCCGAGGTTCGGTCGTCAGGACCGAAGGGTAGTCAGCACCCCAGAATGGCTTGACATGGGTAGTTAGCACCCCAGAATGGTCGTACCAGGTAGGTCGGGCACCCCAGAAATGTCTGGCAATATGTATGGTATGTGATTGTATGGTATGCGGTATGATGGGGGAACTCACTAAGCTTCGTGCTTACAGTTTTCAGTTTTGGTTTCAGGTACCTCATCTTTGAAGGGGAAGGAGCTGGCGCGGTAGCGGCCCATCACACACATGTTTCGTATTCCGCATCCTGAGATCTTCCTGGGGATTTGTACTCTGACATTATTATGTTTTATGAAATGTTTTCCAGACATGTGATATCTTTATAAAATGTTATGATTAGTAAACGTTTTAATTCGAATGTTTTGCTAAGTATATGTGTTCAAAAATGAAATTTTTGGCTCGTATTTTTTGGGGCGTTACATAACCGATGTCTTTCTCCACCGGAAAAAAACAAAAAACAAACTAGCCGCCTATGATTTGATCTCCGATGAACTCTAGGTCGAGAATCAATTGTAAACCGCTAGATCTCCCATTGTTGTCTAACACCACATGTACACCTTTTTTTTCGATCTCAGTGAAAAGAGTTAGATCTAACATTTATGTTGATTTCTCTCCCACTTATTTCTTTCTCTCAAGTCTGATGTGTTTCAGAGATTAGAGTATTTTAGTGAATGAATAATGTCAACAAGAGTAAGCTACAATGTTGATCGAAGGGGAGGCGTCGCCGGAAGGAGAGACATCACCGGAGTAGGAGACGCCAACGTAGATAAGGTGTCTCATAGAAAAGGCAGCCATAAAGTCTGCAACCAGGACTCTAAGGAGTGTTGTTCTTGCGCTTGAAGAAGATGACAACAAGGTAAAACATTGACTATTTTGACTCTTGACACTTTCGTACACAATTAGGTTTAAATATTGGACTTATTGCATTGCATAATTTTGGGCTTAGTGCTGTTTTCATCCATTAAATTTTTGGAGTTTAATTCGTCAAGCTAAACTTATAACAAGCCTAGAAAGGTTAATAAGGCAAATGATAATTGATTATGATTTTGACTCACAATTTTATAAAATGTTGGGCTATAATGACTCTAAGCCATTTTTTTAAGAATCGGTGACCATAAACACCTTTTTAAGAAGTAGTTTTGATCTAATTTTATAATGAGTTAATTATTACGAACAAAATTGATTAGTTGAATTGTAAGCATTAAAACCATAAGATGATCTTTTTAACAAAATAAATAAATAAAAGATTACATTAATTAAAATCATGTCAGCATCCAGCATCACAGAGATGTGTTTGATTAAATGCTACAATGAAGTTTTCTAAAGTCTAAACAACGAATATTATAAATTAAGCTATGAATGAGTGAATTAAACTGTGAATATAATATAAATTAAACTGTGAATATAACGTAAATTAAACAGTGATTTTTGGATATTAATTTGTGTATTTTTGTATATTTGAATATTAAACTGTGAATTTTATAAACTAAACTATTTATTTTTTTTGTATATTAAACCGTTCACATAATGTATCTGATTAATCTTGTATACTAAACTGTGAATTGTGTTTTAAGTTGTAAATTTTATCCGCAACTTAATATATTAAATGCACAATTAAATATGTATAAATGTCTTTATATATTGACGTTTAAATATAAGTTTTAATTTGAAAATATGACTATAAATATAATTTTTTTTGTCATAAATTGTGAATTTATTATATTAAGTTGTGAATTTTGTATATTAAAGTGTGAATTGTTTATATTAAGAGTTTAAAATTGATATTATTGTTGTGAATTTATATTTTTTGTATTAAACTGTAAATTTGTTGTAATAAACTGTGAATTTTATGTATTAAGCTGTGATTTTTATATTTTAAACTTTAAATTAACTGCATTAAGTTGTGAATATTTATTTAAATTGTGAAATTAACTATATTAAAATGTGATATTTTTATAGTAAACTGTGATTTTTGTGTTTAAAAATGTGAATTGACTGCATTAAACTATGAATTTCTGTTTAAACTGTGAAGTGGATTTTGCCGTGAATTTTTTTTTATTTGTATTAAAATATGAATGATTTATGTATAAATTTTTTTGTTAGTTTTCTTATGAATATATTTATTTTTTTGTTATATAAATTTGTAAGAATCCAGTAGTTTTTATAATTGTTTTGCATTAAATTCAAAACGAGTTAATTAATATGCTTTATTAGACTGTGAATGTAATATTTAAGTTGTTGATGCATGATTTTATTTACAGATATGATTTGGAAGAAATGACAGCTACCATATAGATACAGGTGGTTGGTGGTGGCATGTAGTGGTAGAGTTTGAGTTTTTGACTTCTTTGAATTAGTGAATTATTGTAAAACAATTTGTATTAAGTTGTGGATTTTTTACATTAAATTGTAAATGGATTATGTAAATCTATATTTTATTTGTATTAAAATACGAGAACATATATGGATGAACATATTAAACTGTAAAAATTATAAGTTTGCTCTTTTCATACAAAAAACACAAAAAATAGGATTTTAACATGTTTAATAAGAGTATAGTGTAAATATTTAGTAATTAATTGAGGTTCTTAGGTTCTTAATCTTTCATGGTTCTCATTTGAACCACCCCTATATATATATATATATATATATATATATATATATATATATATATATATATATATATATATATATATATGTTCATGTTCATTTGAGACCATGCTAATTTTGTGAGACCGTGAGACCAAATCTAAAAACAATTTTAAAATGCAAAATAAAAGAAAAAATCCAAAAAAAAATATTATTTTTAGAACTTTATTTAACTATAAAAAATAAATAAATAAATAAAATTACCGTTTTTTTTAAGAATACGTGAAATATTCTAATAGAATATTACATTGTACATATTCTAATATGATTTTTAGAATGTTTAGAATATTCTACTAATTTTGTCAGATATGTAGAATATTCTAAATATTCTACTAAAATATATAAAAAATGTATTTTTTTTGTTTTTTTTATTTTTTTTTGGGGTTTTTTTTTTGGAAAATATATATTCCGAAAATAAAATTGGAAAAGAAAATTTCAAAAAATTTCAATTATTTTGCATTTTACAAATGTTTTTGTTTTATCTAATAAATAAGTGACTATGATTTCGTCTCACGGTCTCAAAAAATTAGGTCGTCTCACATTAACCTAACCCTATATATATATATATATATATATATATATATATATATATATATATATATATATATATATATATAGAGAGAGAGAGAGAGAGAGAGAGAGAGCAAGGATCATTTGAGAACTCATATTTTTCCGAGAAACTGAGAACTAAAAGTGAAGCCTTAAATTAAAAAAGTTAAGGGACAAGATCTTTGATGACAATTTTGTAAATAAATAGAAAAAAATCAAGGAATGGTATCTTAATAAAGTAACATAAGGGCATTTAAGGGAATAGTTAATTAGCTCTGCAAATAAATCGTGATTAGTCTTTCTATCGCTCGATCCCTTCTCCGATTCTTCAGCGAATCCATCGACCTCCTCCCTCTTCGTCGACCCCTCCCTCCTCCCTCTAACAACCACCCTACCTCTGTCAACAAACACCGCCTTCATTGAAGATTCTCTGATGATTGATAGATTTAACATCGCGGTGGCTGCGTCATTCTTCCCTCTCAAGTTTCGGGCCCTAATAAATCAGCCAGAGGTCTGATCGCTTCGAACCTCCCTATTCTCCTTCGCTTCTGAGCTTCTGGATGTGATTGCTCCTCCGCATTCATTGTCGTTTCCTGTCTTCGATTGATTGTGTCCAGAAGTCAGCTTGGAGTGATCGAAAGTTCAGAAAGAACAAATCCAATAATGGCTAAACCTAAAGTCGATCTCCCGAGTTTCTCTTCAATCGAACGTAATGCATCAATTTTCGAAATGGTACGATTATTCACGTTCATATTCATGTTCATGTTTCCTTGCATTAGAGACATTGCCTAATCGATTTCTACAAATTAGTTCTTCAAAATTGATTATCGATAAAGCTGTGGTATCGATTTTATCAATCGATGTCCGACTCTCCTCTTCCTCTTTTTATCTCTAGAAAACGTCCATTCATAACATCCTTCTTGTTAAGAAATCACCTTGAGCTATCATCAAGATTATAATTATTTGCTTCCTTGAAAACTAAACGGACCAGTTGACTTTAATTTACAGCCTTCCTATTTTATTTAATCTGGTCTTTGGAATCAATAGATATAGGTATACGAGCTTAGATAGCCAAAGGCAAAGATTACCTGTATTCAAGTACAGAACGTCTATTTTGTATCTGATGGAGACTCACTCCACTACCATAATCATTGGCGAAAACGGGGAGTGGTAAAACTACTCAAATCCCTCAGGTTCCCCATCCTTTTTTCTTCTGTTTGTATGCACTCTTGCTCGCGAAAAACACTCAATTTTAATGACTTTTGATGTCAGATTTTCTAATTGACATTATAGATATGATATTGACTTTGTTTCAAGTGTAATCTCGATTATTCTCTTTGTATTTGTAGTGCTTGTTATGAAAGTTTATTTAGTTATGGTTTCGTAGTGCTTTTTCCCCATTCTAGTTTCAATGGCTTTTGTTGAAGCACTTTATATAATCTTGCAGTACCTTAAGGAAGCAGGATGGGCTGATAATGGTCGGATTATTGCTTGCACTCAACCAAGAAGGTTGGTTATGCAGATATTCATCATCAAAGTTCTTTTTGTTTAATGTTCATTATTATTATCCTTTAATACATATACTTTAGTTTCATTTTCATTAAATTTTCACTAAAATTACATCTAATTACAACTTTTGATTAATATCATGTTTTTTCAGAGTGTTGCTGCAAGATTGGCAGAAGAAATGGCAGTCAAACTTGGGGAAGAATTTGGTTATACTATTCGGTTTGAAGATGTCATAAATTCAGTAAGACTTTATCTAAAGCTCAATAAATGATACATTTATCCAATAATCCTTGGTCTAAACACAAGAAATAACAACAAACTTTTATTTATTTATATTTATCTTTTTGATAGGATTTAACAAGGATCAAATTTCTAACAGATGGAGTATTACTAAGAAAAATGATGGATGATCCTCTTTTAAGCAAATACAGGTGTTGTTTCTAATCAGTTGTTCTTTATAATCTGACATTATCAATTTCTTTAATTTATTGTTTTTACTTTGTTATCTTTTCAAATTATTTGTTTCTTCTTAAAATGGGAATTATATTTCAGTGTGATTATGATTGATGAAGCTCATGAGAGATCCCTTTCAACAGATATATTATTAAGTCTCCTAAAAAAGGTATCACTTAATGATTCAACATCTTTTTTTTTCTAATGACTTACTAAAAGAACATGTATCATTTTTATTTATTGTGAAATGAAAGAAATATCAATTCTTTTTCATATATTTACTTATTTTTAATTTCTCAGATACAACGCAGAAGGCCTGAGTTGCGCCTGATTATTGCATCAGCCACAATTGAAGCAAAATTAATGGCTAAGTTTTTTCATAACAGGTTTTCCTATTAATATAACCATTTATTTCAAGGGTTAAATACTTATAAATATAATAAAAACATTAATAGTTAAGTACATTGATATATAACTATATTCATCAGGAAAAGGAGGCCACAGTTGGATGGAGATGATAATGGACTGCAGACTAAACCTGCTATTTTGTCTCTAGAGGTATATTATAATATTATTATAATATATTATAAAAAAAATAAAACATAATTGATTATTTTTTATTCACTTATCTTTAAAATATATTATTTCAGGGTAGAGGATTTAATGTACAAATTTTTTTGATTGAGGAACCTGTTTCAGACTACTTTCAAGCTACTGTTTCAACAGTAATATCAATTCATGATAAGGTACACTACACCTGTTATTATTTTATACAACATTTGAAACAAAATATATAATAATTCATTTCTTTTAATTATTTTATATACATTTTTTTGTTTGTAGGAGCCAATGGGGTATATTCTTGTCTTTTTAACAGGGCAAACTGCAATTCAAAATGGAATATATAATGATATAATGATATATGCATGAGAACTCAACTGTAAAAAATGGAAGAACAATACTCAGAAGATGAACAAGGATCTCTATGTGGATATGATTCAAAGTGTCATCCAAGAGCTCTTCTATCAGGTCAATCATAATTGATAATGGTTCATGTTCGAATTTTCTTGAATTTTTGTATTTGTCTGAATCATGGTATGACGGTTATAAGTAAATAACATGTAATTCATATGTGAATTACATGTGATTTACATGTAAATCACAAGTAAATCACATATGAATTACATGTGATTCACATGTAATTATGAATTACATGTGATTCACAGGTAAATCACATAAGAATTACAAGTGATTCACATGTAACTCACATGTAATTCACACATGATGCATATGTAAATCACATGTGATTCACATATGAATTACGTGTGATTCACATGTAAATCACAAGTGATTCACATATGAATTACATGTAATTCACATATGAACTACACGTAATTCACATATGATTTACTTGTAATTCACATGTAAATCATAAGTGAATCACATATGAATTACATGTGATTCACATGTAAATCACTAGTGAGTCACATATGAATTACATGTGATTTACATGTATATAATATCTAATTCACATATGAATTACATGTGATTCGCATGTGAATCATATGTAATTCATATATGATTCACATATAAATTACATGTAATTCACATGTAAATCACAAGTGAATGACATATCAATTACATGTGATTCACATGTAAATCACTAGTGATTCACATTTAAATCACTAGTAAATCACATATGAATTACGTTAATATGCACACATGCATTTTCTGTGAGTGGTTTTTGTTAATTTTTTTTTTAATTTTCTTGTTAATTTCACATTTGAATCTTAAAAGATATAATCACATGTGAATATCACATTGTATAATCATATTTGAATCTTACATTATATAATCACATGTGAATTAACATGATATATACTTGTTTATTTTTCTGAGTGTTCTTGAATTAATCAATTTTTTTTTAATTTTCTTGTAGGTTTTGAAGAATTTATTGAAAATATTAAAGAGGTGAAAAGTGATAAATTGAAGAAAATATGAAAATCTTGATATGAAGAGAAGCTTTCTATTTCTGGGCACAATCAGTGTTCTTGAATATCGAAGCATAAGACTTTATAGAAGAATTCCTGGAAAAAAAAAATTCCTGCAAAGCAAAGAAGTGTTTGCTTCTCTCATAGGTTCAGAGTCCTATAAGTATCCCTTAGTCTGAGCAGCTTGTTCCTTTGGAACGTTAGCATCATATCTTTGCCCCCTATTAAAAGTAAGGGTGTCAAGAGATGTCAGAAATGTAAAATCCTTTTATTTGATGGAATTTTCTTTCAAAATGTTGCATCATGTCAAATGGCGGGTCCATCGTCTATCCCCAAGGTAAGACCCCGAATGAAAAAAACGTTGATAACACTGTGAATCTTTGTAGTTTTTTTATATTTTATTTTGTATCGAATAAAATACTTGTATGTTAATGAGATTTTTCGTAATTTACTTACGAATATTATATTATAAGGACAAAATTGCAAAAATGGTCCCTGTGTTTGGCAAAATTATGCGACTTTGGTCCAAAACGATAGTTTGATGCACCACTGGTCCAAAATTGGATTTTTCCATTGTTTTTGGTCCCTCCCATTCACTTCCGTCCATATACTCCGTTACATACAATAAAGACCAGGGTATTTTCATCTTTCCAACTCCATATCATCGATTACCGCCATATTGAATGATATACACAGTTAATGACCCTTCACTCTCCTCTACGCACTAAACCCAACTTGTTGATCGAAAACCCTAATCGTTCATTGAAATCTTGCATTTGATCATCAACCGCAATCGTAAGTTTGAATCCACGAGGATGGTCCAAATGTGGGAAATCAGGCCAAGAAATCAGTGTTTTGATGCAATCCGAATTTACGGTAACGTACTCTGTTTCTTACATATTTCTTTGAAACAAAAAAAAATCTTTTACAATCCATATAAAGTAATGTTTTTTTGGTTTGGTTCATGATTTTTACAGAAGGATATCCCACGATGTTCACTATTGAGCTCCATCATGGAGGGAGGTTCACAAAATTCCCAGGGATAAGCTACATTGAAGGAAAATTAGACCACATTGACTTGGTAGACATGGATGAGTTCTCTGTGCATGAGTTGGACGAGGTGATGCTGAAGCTTGGTTATGATGTACCACCAGTCATTTACTACCACTATCAATTGCCAAATGGAGATTTGGAGTTTGGTCTTAGAGCTCTAGGGAATGATATTGATGTACTTAGTCTTGCACAGTACATTGAACATCATAAGATCATCAAGGTATACACTGAACATAATGAAACTAAGTTACTTACATACTTTATGTCTCCAAGAGTTAAACCTAGGGTCATAATTGAGGAAATAGCAGATGATGTGCCCACTGCAACTGTTGGTGATCAAGATGTCCCAAATCTTGAATTGTGTTTAGTAAGATATGAGACACCCGAATACAATTCAAATAAGAGATTGAGGTTAGTTGATGGGAGTCAATCATGTAGTAAGAAATTGTGTTTCAACTTGGAACACACTGCAACTGTTGGTGATCAAGATGCACATGTTGAAATTGGTAATGAAGGTGCAAATATTAGTGAGCAAGGTGCAACTGTTAGTGGTCAAGATACACATGTTGAAATTGGTAATGAAGGAGCAAATGTTAGTGATCAAGGTGCAGCTGTTGGTAATCAAGATACAGAAGTTCATGATCAAGGTGCAAATGTTGGTGACCAAGAAGTAAATACAAGAGAGTTTGATACCTTTGATGACCAACCATTTCAATTTGAAGACTTTGATCCTTTCTTTGATCAATATACTTTTAATGATGGTAATGATCAGAGTATGGGTGTTGGTGCAGAACTTGGCACAGGACTAGGGGAAGTTCAATTTGAAAGTGAGGGAGTTTGTGAAGGACTTGGTGAAGGAGGTAGTGAAGGGGTAGTGAAGGGGGTAGTAAGGGAGTGAGGAAGACAGTGATTTTCTTGAAGATGAAGAAAACTATGTAAGTGATATTGAGGTGGACATGAGTGATTTCTATATGAATGTTGATCTAGATGTTGAATATGTTGACAGAGGAAAAGGTGTTGAGACTGAAAATGAAGTTGTTGATACAGAAGATGTTGAAGATGTTGAAGTAATTGATAATGATGAATGGGACTCATTAGGTGAAGATAGTGATGATGAAAGAAGGAAAGCAATATTAAAACAGATGGTGAAGGAGAAGAAGTGCTCTCTTGGTGAAGTCCATACAGTTACTTTTCAAGTGGGTCAAAAGTATAAAAGTAAAAAGGAAATTAAGAACAAAGTCAACAAACTTGCCATTGAGACTAGAAGGAATCTTGGCTTCAAGAAAAACGACAAAACAAGGCTTAGGGTTGTGTGTAAAGGTAATGTACCTAATGTAAATGCAAGTGGGGTAGGTAAGGGCAATAAATTAAATTGTTCTTGGTCAATGCAGACTTCACGGTCAAAAGATAGTGATTATTGGTATGTGAAAACTTTACTGGACAAACATACTTGTGTTCAAACTAGAAAACTTAGGGCTTGCACTGCGAAGTATATATCTGCAGAAATCTTAGACATGGTCGAGTCTAACCCTACAGTACCCCTTCGAAGCATTCAAGAGCAAGTTCAGAAGAGGCTTCAAGTTGGTGTGTCCATACACAAAGTACAGAGAGCAAAAGCAACAGCTACAAAGCAAGTGAGTGGTGACTACACAAAGCAATACGAGGTGTTAAGAGATTATCTTATGGAACTACAAGCAACTAATGTGGGTACAACTGTGAAGCTTGAGGTTGTTAATGAGCCTAACAGTACTAGAGAAACAAGGCAGTTTAAAAGGGTGTATATTTGCTTAGGGGCATTAAAGAAAGGGTTTAAAGCAGGTTTAAGAGATATTCTGGGACTAGATGGTGCTTTTATGAAAGGACCCTTTCCAGGCCAAGTACTCACAGCAGTTGGATTGGATTCAAACAACGGCATATACCCACTTGCATATGCCATTGTTGAGACTGAAAATATGAGTAGCTGGAAATGGTTTCTAGAATGCTTGGGAGATGACTTAGAGTTGTGCTCAAATTCTAACTTTACTTTCATGAGTGATAGACAAAAGGTACTATTTTCTTCTTTTTGTATTACTAATAGTTTATTTGTATATGATTGTTGCAATGATTATGTGAAATAATCCTTTACAGGGACTCTTACCTGCTATAGCACAACTATACCCACAGGCTGAGCATCGATTCTGTCTAAGACATATTTATGAGAACATGAGGAAAAAATGGAAAACAAAAGAGTATAAAGATCACTTATGGCAGTGTGCAATAGCAACCACAGTACCAGAATTTGAACACTACATGAATGAACTTAACAAGTTTGATAAGGATGCTTTTGAGTGGTTGAAGAAAATCCCCCCTCACCATTGGGCCAGAAGCCACTTTTCAGGTTACATTCCCTAACTTAGGTGAAGCTTTACTAGTGCTCATTGTATATGGTTTAGTTCATATAATTTTCTTGTTTAATACAGGCAGAGCAGGATCAGATATATTGCTCAACAATTTATGTGAGGTTTTCAACAGTAAGCTTATTCATGGTAGGAATAAGCCCATCATAAGTTGTCTTGAGTACATCAGGCAGTACCTTATGAAGAGGATTTGCAATGTGAAGAAAGTGATGTCCAAAGCTCCAGGTCCACTCACTCCAACAGCATCAAAGTTACTTGAGAGAAATAGGGAAGCTTCAGTCCAATATAGAGCTAGATGGAATGGGACTGCAAAGTATGAAGTTTATGGTCCTTGGCATGACCAGCATGTGGTTGACATGAAAAATATGTCATGTACATGTAGAAGGTGGGAATTGAATGGGATTCCATGCAGGCATGCCATAGCTACAATACATGAAATGGCTGATAGTGGAGACAAAGTTGGGGAGCTTTACACTTATGTTAACAAAGTGTATTGGCTTCAAACATGGAATGAAGCTTACTCTTACACTGTGGACCCTATAAAGGGTAGAGCCATGTGGCCAAAAAGTACCTGTCCATTTCAATTAACACCACCACCACATCACAATCAACCTGGGAGACCTAACACCAAGAGAAAGAGAAGTGCAGATGAAAAATATGATAAACAGATGCAAAATCATGGTGCAGGTGAACCTGAAAAACTTACCAGAAAGTTTGTTAGTGTTAGGTGTGGGAAATGCAACAATAGGGGTCATAACTCAAGGACGTGCAAGGGTCAAGGTGGGAATGCAGGAAGAAATGAAGGAGGGAATGCAGGAAGCAGTCAAGGAGGGAATGCATGATGCAGTCAAGGAGGGAATGGAGGTAGCAGTCAATGCAGGAATTAGTGTATTTTGTTTAAAAACTTATCTTTTGGTTTAGCACAACTTTTGTGCATTTGGATGTAATGGTTTAAAACTAGTTTGTTGTAATGGTTTTATTTTGGTCTTTTAGCCCTTTTGGTCATGAAACTAATGTCAACCTTTTGTCATTGTTGAAGAATGATGTTTATGGTTTATACCAACTGTTGGTTGTCATGTTTATGGAACACATTTTTGGTTATAAGAACTGTTTTCTGAAACAACAAATATACATTAACATTCGGTGATAACTGCAATACATTGTCATTATATCCTTGAAAAGGTTACAAATTTCTGAAGTTGTCCAAAATAACCCTAAACTGATATTACATTATCAAATACCAAAAACTACCACATTCCCTAGTTACAATTTCATAAGACAAAAAACACCCAAAAATTACATGCAACTACAGGGGTCCCTAATTGCTTATTACTAAATGAAAAGCACCCAAACCACCACAAATAGTAACCAACTTGCAAACAAACACATCTTCAATCTTGCCACTTGATAGTTTACATTGTTGATATTCCTCAATAATCCGGGTATTATCAACATAGATCGTGCACACATGGGAGGATCAATCCATCCTAAGAATCGGCATCTGGAACCCTTCACATAAAAAAATAAACCCTAAACATGAGGGTGATTTTCCAAAATGAGGGTAAAATAGCAAAATCGAACACTTACCTTTTGAGGGCAGGAAAGAAACCTCCGACCAGGGTTTGCTGATGTCCAGGAGGTGCGAACCACCGCTTCCCTACCACAGAAACACATCACCATTTTAATTTTTGATCTCTAAGAAATTGTGAACACAGAGTAGGAAGAGTATGAAGCTCGTGAAGTTGAAGAAGGAAGAGTGATGTAGCTCTGCTTTTATTTTGAATAAGGTTGCAAAAAAGGTCCCTGTATGTGGAAAGACGAAAATACCCCGGTCTTTATTGCATGTAACGGAGTATATGGACGGAAGTGAATGGGAGGGACCAAAAACAATGGAAAAATCCAATTTTTGACCAGTGGTGCATCAAACTATCGTTTTGGACCAAAGTCGCATAATTTTGCCAAACACAGGGACCATTTTTGCAATTTACTCTATTATAAGAAATATGTATATATGTATTTGAAAAATATGCATATATGCACCTAAAACGTTAATTTTTTAGTTAAAAAAATGCTGTTTTGAAAAAAATTGTACATTTTTATAAAAATTGCAGTTTTTTTTTTTCTTTTTGAAAAAAAAATATAGATTTTTTTCTAGAAAAAATGCAGTTTTTAAAAAAATATTTTTTAAAAAATTCGTGTTTTTTGAAAAAAATTAAAAAATCTCCATTTTTTCAAAAAAAAGCAAAAATTATTATTTAGAAAAAAAATAAATCCGAAATTTTGAGTTATTTTATTAATTTTTAGACATTTATATTAATATATTAAATAACACAAAAAAATTAAATATTAAATGAGATTGATAAAATGATGATGATGCCCTTTGATATATATATATATATATATATATAAAAAGACGAGTTTTAAAATTGTGCCATCAGAAACGTCGAACTTTTGGGTTGATAACAAAATCAATTTTGACTTCAAAAGGTCGTCACGAAAGTTTATGTTCTAGAATACGCACACCAATTTAGACTCTAATCCCTTATTATGTAATTTCTTTCAATTTAGACTCTAATCCCGTATATAAAGACAGATTGTAAATGAAAAAAAAATGCATATTATGTAATTTCTTTTTAAGCCAAAGGGTGTGGTGGTTTTTTTACTAATTGATAAAAGGGTGTCATAGTGGGTCATATAAGTAGACCTGGTAACGGGGCGGGTTTGAAGCGAATCGAACTTGATCCAAACCCTTTTAAAAAATTCCAAAACCCGATCCAAACCCGCTCCATAACCCGTAGGATTTTGAATAATCAAACTCATACCCTTATCCACCGAATCAGCAGATATCCAAACCCGCCCCGTAACCCATAGGTTTTGTGAATAATCAAACACATTTTATTTAAATCATAAAATCACATTTGTTAAATAAAACAAATATTGATTTAGAAAACACATTATGTACTCGAAGACTTTCGATTGGAATTAAAATCATTATTGTAGTTACTTCCAATTGGTTTTTGACCCTCGATTGCATTGATAGAGAAAAAAAATTACAAACTTTCTTCCAGTTGATAAATAAATTTATTGATTTATAAATGAAATTGGTGATTACATGATGAAACATAAATGAAATGACATCATGATTCTTCAGAGAAGACTGGAAGTCTAGAAGTTGAGTCCCGAGTCCTATGTATAAATAGTTTAGTCTTTGGCCTTTTCTCTTTGGACTTTCGATTGGAATTTAAAGTAAAATTTAGGCAGTATAAAATATAAATGTATAATTCTAAAATTTATATGGGACAGGTTATAAATGGAGTGGATCGGTGATGATCCATACCCGACCCTTTTAATAAAAGGGTTAGCGGGTATGGGTCGTAAATGGGTAAACGGTTCAAAAACTATGCTCCAAACCCATATAATTGTTAAGGGTTTGGATCGGATCAGGATCAAAACCCGCTCCATTGCTAGGCTTACATATAAGCTTTTATAATTTGTCACATTTTTCAAGGGTGTGGTGGTTTTTTTACTAATGGTATATAGGTGGCTTCAATTGAGAAAATAAAAAAAGGTTGAGAATGGGGGAATCATTCTCAGCCACTCATTTAATCTAAACATAAAAGACACAGTGACAAACTTGTAAATATCGTAATAACCTTCAATCTCAAATATGTAACTATAGAAAATTCAAAAACTGTTCGTTCATCATCAAAATATTTCTTCCAACCTTCAATAATCATCCAGATTTCTTCAACTAAACCGGAATTTCTTCGCTGTTCATAAAATTGGAATCGGAGTTCTGGACTCACAGTCACAGTCGACATTGAGGGACTTAGAATCGGTACTCACAGGTTCCCAATCGGATTTTCGGAAATCAAAATCAAATTGAGAAATCGATCAGAGATAGGATATCGCATCTGAAGTCGAAATCGGAAGTATATGATGATTTGGAATTGATAACTTGATGTTTTTAACATTTTTAAAATAGTTAACTTGTTTGCACTACAACTGTTTGATGAAATGCATAAACTAAATTACCACGTTATATTTACACATAAATATGTTTTCTCACCTGAATCAATATATGATTATTAAAAACACAAAACAAATATACAAGTCTGTATGTTATTCATATGTGAATAACATATAAAAATTATATATATTTGTCAAAATACCTTCAATATTCATAAGTGAATGTACATTGTAATATTCATATGTGAATATACTGTGTAATATTCATAAGTGAATATATCATCTAATATTCATAAGTGAATATACTCAGTAATATTCACATGTGATATACCATGTAATACTATGTAATATTCACATATGAAATATCATTACTCATAAGTGAATATAACATCTAATATTCACAAGTGAATATACTATGTTAATATTCACAAGTGAATTCATCGTCCAATATTAAAATATGAATATACTATGTTTATTATATGCTATATTCATATATGAATGATACTTAAATTGTCAAAGAAAAAAATCATACTTTTTATTCATAAGTGAATAACGAATGTACTGTAATAAAACCTGATGCATTGTTATTCATTTATGAATAACAATAGCTGAAAATAAAAATAAATTTATTTTATCTTAAAACTATATCAATATGGATGTCTATTTGTAGAGAATAAAAAATTATGAATTTTGGTATATTTAAAATCATTTTTTGATAAAAATAGCTTATAAAAATAAAATAAAAAAACGAAAAAAACTATGTTTTTATATATATATTAAGGTAATGATTAGCATAGTTTAAGGAAATATGTTATGTGGAAAACACATGTGCATTCGTTTACCATTTCCGCCGGTACATTGGAGGCTTTTGCCGCAAAAATAAATGATTGGCTGAGAATGATTTCTCCATTCTCAACTTTTTTTTTTCTCAATTGAATCCTCCCTATATATATATATATATATATATATATATATATATATATATATATATATATATATATATATATATATATATATATATATTGGTATTTAAAGTTAAAAAGAAGAAAAAAAAAAAAAAAAATTGCAATGATCAATCTGGATAAAAAAAGGGTTTACCGTTGAAATTTATCATCGGTGAAAGTTACAATTGAAATTTACCACCGACAAATTTTTTTTTGAGATGTGGTGTTTATCGCCGGCAAATTGACGATGACAAACTCTCACACCGTTTGGTATTAATTAAATGTAATGAAGGTATACATTTTCATCAAACCATGCAACAATGATAAAATAATTTTCATACATGGTAAAATTTGTTGATAATCCACGTGTCTTTATGTGACATTCTAAAATCCGTGATCATTTTAATAATTTTATTTATGTTTGTTCGAAAATCAGAGTATTTATTTTAAAGATTAATATTGCGGAGTATATTCCCAGAAAAATATGATAAATATATTATCATAGTATTTTCGAAGAAATTTATTTTGTTTATATAAAAACTTTGGGATATCATTGTCAATATAGAAACATAAGCATAAACAGATCTTATATTCATTTAGATTAGTGATTTACATCCCCTTTTATCTTTCGGTGTAATGTAGCTTCATATCGACACATGTGATACAAATAAACTGAGTGGGTCAAGTTGAAAAACATGGTGAGTATATATGGTTTTTAACCCACAATAATATGGTTAATTTGTTTCTTCACATAATTCATGTCAAACAATTAACCCGATTACCCATCCCCATTTTCTTCATTAAATCTTCCCTAAAAAATTATTTTAAAGGTCATCTCTTATATCGTCTTTACCTCTCATCTCCTTACATCGCATTTTTTATATGCTTGTTCCTAAGGACTTTTCCTAAGGATCATCACCTACATCGCATAGACAATACTGATTCGGGGATTACTCCCTCAATACGTGTCCAGTAAGGGTTAGGGTATCATCGCATGAATACGTAGTTATAACATCGCCTGAACTCATAATTCAAAGTATGGGTTAGAGTATCATCGTATGAATACGTAGTTACAACATCGCCTGAACTCGTAATTAATCAACTACAGGTTATGAGCCTACTGGT